ATTCTGAAATTCAGGAAAAAAAAAAAAATTAACACAATTGATGAGGGATTAGGGAAGCCACCACAAAAATAAATAAATAATAAAGACGAAGAGGAAATCCTTACCCCCACTGGACAGTGAGATTCTCATAATCCCAGTATTCCCTGGGGCGCACCACATTCACTTCAGCGTACACACGAGATTTCGACATCCGCAGATCTCCGGCGACACGTCGGCGGCGCACAGCGAATTTCCTGTGGGTAAATCTCCGATTCACGATAATAGTTATAATAGAGTACAGATAGGTTCGCTTTTTATCCTCGGTAACACGTATCAAGGGGACGTTGGCCAAAACACGAAATACTCGGTATTATTAGAATCTGATGAAAGAGGGTAGTCGTGTTAGATCCATTCTCACAAGAGTACAAAGGCACCTACTGGCCAGGTATTCAGCGTGTAGGTTTCCCTCGCGGAAGATGTATGAGATTTGGAAGTGGACCGACTGAAGTGTGGATCTGATGCGTATGAGCGTGTGTTGAATCTATCACGATCATTTTTGGCCTGAGATCAAGAAAGTGAGGACAGCGGCAACATCCAGCTCAATAGAGTTAGAGGTTTCAGTCAAAAGACCGACTTGGAGTGTCTGAACCTTTGCGTCGAAGCTCGAGTAGGTCTGAAGAGGGACGTGTAATGCGGTAAGAGCTCCGCAGTGATCTTTAATCAGGCATCCGCCTCCAGCAACTCTGGTGAGTCGGTCAAAAGATGAGTTAAGTCAGTGTTCAGCTTGACCTACAGGGAGTCAGGTCTCACCCAAACAACAACTCTAGGCCGTGGGTGCTGGACATGCAGCAACGGAGATGGCACGAAGCAGTGCGGCGGCGTGCATCCATTGCAATCTCTAGGCGTGAGTCTGCCTAGAGCTGTATGGAATGAAAGATGTCTATCAACCTGCAAAACAATGTGAGAGCAAACAAAGTAGTATCCTTATGTTTCGAATTACTCCTCTCTGTCCAGATGAACCACAGGACCAGGCAAAGAATGAGAAAGTCCACGTGTCTAAAGTGTGTGTGCTGTGAGAAGAAATTCAGGAACACGTATCAAGGGAAAACTGTGAAAAAATAAGTGATCAAATTCTGGTTACATAACCAGTGTTTCAGACAATATTATGCTATAACGTGCTATAAATAGTGTGTCTAAGATTCCAAATCAGCTCGAGTTGTTGACTACGGTTAGTGCTTTTCATCCTGGGTAACACATATCAATGGAAAACTACGAATAAAATAAGTAATTAGAGTATGGTTACATAACAAGTGTTTTCGACAATGTTGTGCTATAACGTTCTATATATAAACATGTGTCCACGGTTCTGAACCAGTTCAGACCATTGACCACGGTTCGACAGACCCACATGTTAGTCCTGGCTGGTCCAAGTTCACTTTTTTTTAGAAAAAACTGAACTGGCGGTTCTTGTTCTGTACTCGAACTGACACGGGGTTCGGCGTCTTTTTAAAAATAAAAAAAAAAATTATTTTCATGGCTTCGGGCCGGTCTGGGCTCAAAACCGGAACCAGAGGGCCGATATCCCAAATGGTCAGATTTTGAAAATTGGTCGTTGAATTGGGCTGAACCTATTTGAACAAGTGATTCGGCCCTAAACCGGCGGTTCACCGAATTTAAAAAAAAAAAAACAAAAAAAAAGGATTTTTTCTATAAATACCCCTTCACCTCTTCATTTAGACACCAAATTAGTATCACCTTCGTCTATAATCTCCTCAATACTATCATTTATCATTTATTTCATTTCTTCTATAATTGCAACGTTTTTTATTATATATATATATATATTCTATTTAGGTTACAAAATTGTCGAGTTCTCGGGGCGGACGACTACCAAAGAGATAAAATACAACACTGACGAGTGGTCATACATCGTCGACACCGACAATATACTTGGACGTTTCGTGATTCCCCGATGAATTATCTACCGAGGAGGTCGTACACATGTTTCGAGTTACCAAATGATGCTGCTACTCAAGGTCAACGTATGGGCCCCGGTGATGTGGTCGTCAGTAGCTATTAGTGGTGGTTCATGAGGAATCAGTTGTGGTTCGGGCTTTAGTCGCACCCAATAGGGTGTTCAATCGGGTAGGCACAACCAGTGGTGTCTCTGGAGTATATCGGTGGTATGCAAAGCCTAGCTCGACGTGAGCTAGGCAGGGCACCTCGGTACCTAGTGATGTAGAGCGTGGATATGAAATGGGTAAAACAGGCATAAGCGAAAGCAGATTTTTTTATTTCATCGATAAAACTGTTCTCTTCTGGACAGGAAGAGAATACATAAAAGGGAAGAGTCCAACATTCTTCAATGACTAAAAATAAAATACTACTAATTAATTATTCCAATACTACTAACATGACTCAATAATAAAAGACTACTAGAAATAGCAAGAATAAACGAACTAGACACGAAGACGATCATATTTATTCAAAAACACTATCGCGGTCTCGTCTCCATCATCCTCCCCCGGTTGGGAAGGATTCGGCCGCGAATCCGAACCGGTCTCGTCTCCGTCAGAAATATCACCAGCGAACGGGATCAAATGTTTGACGTTGAACACGTCAGAAGTGTGAATATGAGAGGGAAGGCGAAGACGGTAAGCATTGGGATTGATCTTCTCCACCACCTCAACCGGGCCAATTTTCCGGGCCGACAATTTATTATACTCATGCGCTGAAAACCTGTCTTTAGTCAATACAGCCCAAACAAAATCACCTACCTCGAACTCCACATGGCGACGACGAGCATCTGTGCGCTGCTTATAAGAAGCAGTAGTAGCCTCCAAGTGCGCCCGAGCCGTGGCATGAGTGGCCCGTAAGTCTGCCAGCAAGTCCGCCGCACGCTTATCACAGTCGACAGGAGATGGCAGCGCCGCCAAATCACACGGGCCACGCGGC